TTTGCCCACGTACTGGCAGTTGGGAGCAGGAACTTCGTACTCTGCGCGACCAGATTTCAGATAACAGCCCTCCAAATATCCAAGTTGACCGTCTTCTCTTGTATCTGGAACCCGTCGCCCACACAAGGCCGTGTTCATGCAATCGAGAGTAGGCATGGCGAAGAGTCCGACGGAAAGGCCTAGCCGTAACAACGTCTACTCAGTAACACGTGATGAATCATCCCCATAGAGAAGCATCCAGCCTTCACATAGGGATCGCGCATCTCCTCCGCACTTGGCAGCTGACGAACAGGACAATGAAACGCGCCGCTAACTTGTACTCTACTAGCGCAAGCATCCCCCTCCTAACAAGAAATACCACGTCGGGCCATCGGCCAAACTCTAACCCTACTGGATGCGTTCCACAAAACTCTGACGCAACCCACAAACTTTGCCCTTGTATTTTATTTTCTCACCAACTCAAAGGTAGCCTCATGGCGATGGGACTTGCTGCATGTCGAGGACCGTCTCCCTACTCCAAGAAACAACAGGCATGCAAGTGTCACCGGTGCCATCTCCCCTCGGGCGGGTCAATCAGCGGGACGACCCGCGGCGCCACTACGTCCCAGCCGACATGGAGTCACGATCCACGATTTTGATGCTGGTCTAGAACGGTCCCTGCGAGGGCGACCAATGACCTCGACCTCGGATCTGCGTCAGCTTCACGGGCGAGAAACGTCATCAGTATGTACTAAGTATGTATGTATGCCTTGTTGCGTCGCCGCAGCAAGTCACATGCAACGGTTTCAACAAGAGAAAAGCAAAGAAAGTAAAACTACAAAGTACGATTCGATGCGTGCCCTTATTTTTCACAATTTTCTACGCATCCTGATGAGACATGGTTACTTCCATGGCTATGAACAATCTACCCATGATTCTAACATACCCATTCATGTTACACACTTTTCTGATTCGATCCGCAACCACATCCAAGGTTTTTTTTTTTTTGTTCCTCTTTCCGCCCACCAGCAAAATTTCAAAAGCACCGACTAATTATGCTACATGTACTTGGAAGCAGCGCCTGTCCGGATTCCCAACCCTTTGATTCTCGCCAAGGAAATACCGCCTAGCCGCTCGTACTACACAAAAAAAAAGACCCGAGTGGGAAAAGAGGCAAAAAACACCACAGACCTCCTACCCTCTTCCGGTAGAGTTTGGAACCAATCCCGACTCCGACTGCCTTATGCCGTGTCACCCGGCACATTGCGTACATTGCGAAGAGAGGCACCAAGAGGGCTGACTGCTCCGTACGGAGTACTCGCGCCGGACGTAATTAATCATATGCACTGTTGTCCCGACGCATGTTGCGGGTAGGTGCAGCGTGCAGAGACGCCAGTATTTACAGACGAAGCCGGCATTCTCGTCAGATGCTCCGTGACTAGTAGATACGCAGATCTTCATTTTGTTAGAGACGCCTCGCAGAATAGCTAGCAAGCAAAATTACTATACCAAGATACCAAGTCCTGTCTCTTATTCCGGGAGCGACTCACGTCCATCACTGACACGCGGCATAACCAGCCAACAAATAGTTCAAAACACACATACATTGTCCACTTCATAACAAACATTATAGTAGTCGCTACGCGACCAGTCATTTCATCATCCAACGCCGCCCATGTACCAGCCTAAACGTAGAATTCCCTTGTCCCCGGCTCTTGCAAACCGTCCGTCCACCCATCCAAAATTGTATCCAACCCAGTTCCCGCGCGCCTCCTCTACTCTATCGACAGGCCCTCCAAAACATTCATTGCCTTTGTGCCCTCCCTCTCGAATTGTGTGACCATGGCCTCACATTCATGTTTGAGCTTCTTCTCTGCCTCCCCCGCGTTGAAGTAAATCCATTCTTCGACCGTCATGCGCGTCTCTGGGCTACTAAGTTCCTTGCCTTGCTTCAACAGCCGGCTAACCGCATTTTCCTTGTCATCCCCGCAGCGTGGTGTACCCATAACGGCATCAATGTCCACCGCCGTCCATGGAATTTGGCTCTGCAAGCCGGCCGCAAGCATATTGCGTTTTGACGGTGAGTTGCGGGCCGGCGTGGCTGTCAAGGGCGCGAGGACGACGCGCTTCGCCTTGGCACTGGCCGGGGGCAGAGATGACGGGGGCAGATTTTCAGCGTCGGATGACTGCGGTGATGGTGACGGCGACAACGCTGGCTGGCGTGCCGACGGCGCTGGTGACGTGAACTTTGGGGGAGTAGATGGCGGCTCAACCCCTAGTCTTGACCTGGACACAGCTGGCGAGGAAGCTTCCCCGAGAGGCGATGAAGCTTCCTCGGGCTGTGACGTCCCTATAGATTCACGTCGATGAGTTTCGCCGTCCGCCTCAGAGACCTCATCATCAGCATGGCCTTCACTTGGCTGAGTAGATTCCGACGGTTGTATAGGTTCAGCCGTTGTACTGCTCGGTCTGCGGCCACGTCTAGCGGGTGCTTCTGCAGGTTTCGATGCAGCATTTGAAGCTAGCGACGATTTTTTGACAGCTCTTGAAGGGGCCTTGATTGACGGAGAAGAATCTACGCTGTCGGTATTCTTCACCACAGCATCTGTGCTCCCAATGCTGGCTTCATGCTCCTCAATCTCTGAAGGTGGGTCAATAGCCTCTGGTTCAGGTTCTGGAGATGGTGAAGGAGCCTTGGCCTTCTTTGCCTTTGTCTGCTTGGATGCTTTGCGTGTTCCAGTTCCAGGTTTACGACCCTTTTTAGGAACGTGAAGTTTTTGGTTTGGCTCTTCAACCTCCATTTCGGCTTGAAGATTTCGAAGTTCGTCATCCAACGCATCTTCATCGTGCTCAACTTCAGCAGGATCAAACATGGCGTAGTCTTCCAACTGCTCATTAGTCAGTTTTCCCTTTGACTTCTTCTTGGCCATTGCTTTCGATCGCTCGGATTCTGAGTCGCGTGCAATTTCATCGTCATCCGTCAATGCCCGTTCCAAGTCTGCCTCGAGCTGGCGCTCAATCTCATCATCGTCAGGGAAATCTGCAAGAGGTGCCCGGAGTGAAGCCACGGATGCCCCCAGGGCAGATGGCTTGCGGCTTGACTTTACACTGGAACTCCTGGCGCGACCGGCCGGTTTTGACGCCTGCGCATCAACAAACTCGACATCTTCAGGTGTGATGGTAGAGCTATCAATTTGGCTGCTTTCTCGGTTTTGTGTGACTTGTTTCTTAGACGCTGGGGCCTCGGATAAAAAGAGAACGGAATCATCAATGGCGTCACTAGTTCGTTTCTTGCCATGGGTTGCCTTTGTAGCTTTCGGTAGTGACACAGGCTCTTCGTCAACAGTATCGTCCTCTTCTCTCTCAATTCCTTGCACCTTCTTAGTCTTAGTCCTGCCTTTTGTCGTTGCTGGCTTCTTTTTCTTGCTCGCCGTCTTCTTGCTCCCCTGCGTCGCCGTCGACGTAGTGGTGAGAATGCTATCCTCTGGTTCTGCCGTCATATCGGCAACAGACGCGATGTCAGAGGCAGTCGTGGCCACCGATTGCATAGATAGTCGAGAAGTCTTTGATCCACCCGCCGCCTTGCCTCGAGCAGTCCTCTTCTTGGGCCCTCCAAATTCGTTGACCAAGGCAAAGAATGCGCAGTTCGGTGATCGATTGTAATGCTCGTCGCTTCCCAAGAGTCAGTTTCAACACTCTGATCAAGATCTTGCGGGCCTACTTACTAAGGTTTGTCGCCGGGCTCCCATCCATCTAGAGCCAATTGGCAATACGCACAAGTCGCCATGTCATCTGACTCATCCGTAGGCGTATACTTCCAGCCAGCTTCAACAAGCTAGAGTAATCAGAGTAAGCAGATGCTGTAGCTGTACGTGTCCTTCACAGCTTACCTGTTTTGTTTTGCACTTCCATCCTTTCCTTCCCTCATGGGGCCATTTTCCAGCGAATGTCGCCTTTCGTGCCTCTACCATATGGGGCAGGGTCGGGTCTTGCCTTGAATACTCATCGATCTCGGCTTCAATTGCTGATACTATGGCCCATCCACATTGGGGGGAATGCTTGAGATGCTCCTCGAGAGGATCGTCACCCGCTTCCCACCCATCTAGGCCCTTTCCGCAAAGGAAGCAGACACAGTTGTCGGGGTTTTCGGGATATGGGTCGAAGTAGAATCCAGCTATCGCTAGCTATAAAGAACATCGTCAGCCACATTTGCGCAGGAGGGGTTGGATTCAATGGCGCGTACACTCGCGGGCGCAATCTGTTTGTGCGGCCAATTCAAAGCCTTGCTACGCCCACCCGCTGTTGATCCCCTCTTTTTCGCGGTCTTTTGGAACGATGCAAGTCGCGCCTCGTATGTGAAGTATTGGTCCATTGTAGAGAGCGACAGGTTTCGATTTGTTTTTGCGTCGTCGTGAAATGTCGGTCAGTGCAGAGCGCATCGACAGTCGGTGCGCGTCGCGTTAAGTATTGGAAAGCTCAGGTGCGCATGCAAGGCATGTCTGTTCTCATGCTGCCTTATCTTGAAAGAAAAAATAGTCTTCGCCTCCAGATCACGGTGACACTGTGAAATACAACAGAGTAAGTCATGCGATGTTGCGATGTTGCGCTGTTAAGGGCGATTGGGAAGTCGGCCGTGACGTTGGTCGTGGTTGGTTGGCCATGAACGTGTTTGTTTACTTTCATGCCAAGTGGGGCTATCCAACCCTCACGGATCTGCGGGCGTTGAGACCTCAAGACCTGGCCTTGTTCCTTGGAATAGTACATTACACAAGCTTTTATAAATTACAGCAACTCATAACGGCTCTGCAGCGATGGCAAACAGCTTAAATAATACGCATAAATATAGGCGGTCAATTTGGCCACAGTACCGCCCCGAATGTTTACTGAATGTTTCCAGCGACTGGCTTGCGAGTATTCTCTGGTTGCGCCTCGACGAGCGAGACTGGTACCGGCGTGCATGTTTTCAACGCGCTGGAACCAAGCTTCTTAAATTCGATTTACTATCCGCACATGTTCATTCATCATAGCTTACCAGCCTCCTTGATTGCTCTTTCACCATCGACAAGAACGCACCAACCATCATGCCCCCGCCCACCATCACCATATACCACAGACTCAAAGGCACCCTGCTCCAGGGCCAGCTTCAGCACTGCATCGTCAAAGGTGCCCGGCTGCAGCCAGATTCCTGGAATGCCAATCTTCTTGGCTTCCTCAAGCACCTTGACAGTGACAGGAGGTGCAGTGATGATAGATACCGAGGTCTGCTTAGGACTTGGCAACCCAGACAAGTCCGGGACCGTGGCGTACTCTTGACCGCCCACAGACACGGAGGAAGAGCCCGGATTGACTGGTGTGACGTTCAAACCCTGCTCCAAGTACCAAGCATGGACTATTCCACAGGATTAGTCGGGGCGAAGCGGTAGATGGCGGATATATCTTGGAAATACGAGCCTTTATGACCGAACTTGGCGGGATTCGAGCTGGCGCCGACGACGGCAAAGAACGGTGACGTAAAGAACTTGCGGGCAGCGGCTTCGGTGGCCATTGTACCGGCGGTGGTGGCTATGTTGTGTCGTGTTGTCAAGTTGGTTGTCAATTGCTGGTTGCCTATTTGCAAGTCGCGGTTAGCAGAGCGAACCACGAAATGTCAGGGGTTGACGGTAATAATAGTAACGCTCTCGGCTGATGTCCTCATTCGAGCAGAAAATGGCGATAAGCGTAAAGGCCTATCCGTCGGCTTCTGCGGGGTTTCCGAACCTGACCAGTTGACGCTGTCAAGCGGTCGAAGGGACGCCAAGTTTGCCCCATCCGTTGTAAACCCGAGGTCGGCCGACTCGGCAAGACGTGGTGTTGCTAGTACATAGCTCGGACTCGGTTCATGACATAAAATTCCCATTTAACCCCAGAAGTAAGGAGCCAATGCAAGAGCAGCCATTGTAATACCGTACAACATGTTGTTATAGCAATGTCTCTATTTGCGTAAGAACACCCGTCCTTTGTGCTTTAATTGTTGTGTGCGCACTCCAAACATGCTGACCAAAACATCTCCAGCAAAGCAACATTTTCCGCTGCAGGGTATGCCGCGGCACGGCCAACATACCCTGCAAGTTTGTTTAGAACCGTTCTGGGCTATCATAATGCCAACATCTCATCAGGGTCGTTACTGGATATTGGGTGCGGCCATGGATTGATTGCCCGAGAAATGAGTCCTCACTTTGGTAGCGTGATTGGCATTGATACAAGCCCAGGCATGGTGAGGCAAGCCTCATCAATGACAAAGGATGAGAAAGTCACGTTTTATCAGGGCGGCGCCGAAGACCTGTCCTTCCTCCCCGATAAATCCATTGATATGTTGGTGGCTGGACAGTCCGCGCACTGGTTTGACTACAACAAAGCGTGGCCTGAATTATCTCGCGTGGTGAAACCTGGAGGTTCTCTTGCTTTCTGGGGATACAAGGACAACGTCCTCATTGGGCACGAGAGAGCCAACCAAGTATTTGACAAGTACTGCTACGCAGATGGAGACGTTGAGCCAGGCGTCGAGGGAATGAATGCTTACTGGGAACAGCCTGGCCGCAATAAAGTCCGGAACCTGTTGCGGGAGGTGGAACCGCCTGCTCAAGACTGGACGGCCGTCCGTCGAGATCTGTACGATATCAAGGCCGACTGTCCAGAGACACCGGACCCTGGAACAGCCTGGATGCAAAGGAGAATCAATCTAGGGCAACTGGAGGCGTATGTTCGAACATTTAGCGCATTCCAGGGCTGGCGTGATGCGCATCCAGAGGTTAAGAGCCGGGCGGAAGGAGGTCAGGGGGACCTGGCTGATATTCTCATGGATCGTATTGTGGAATCAGAGCCGCAATGGAAGGGACTTGGCGATGGGTGGAGGGACGCCGAGGTTGATACGGTCTGGGGCACGTACATCCTTATGGCAAAGAAGCGTTGAATAAGGAGCAATGGTTCGTTGTGTTTCGACCGATGACTGCAAGTACTTAGATGTGTTTGAGCGATTATGCGAAACGTTTGGCGAGGTTTTGTTTGGTGTACGTTAATGCTGTAGTAGTAGATAACAACTGCTAGCCTCGATGTCTCATTGCCAATGAATCGTGGGCCTTGATTGACATGGAAGGTGCATAAAAGCACACCGCAAGTTGTCCACATCTCGAGCACGGAGGCTTTGTACTCCGTTGTACATCCCTTCAGTGTTTCGAACGCGGCCCCTTGCCCCTGCTCAGCTGGCACCGGCTGTCAGTGACATGCTCCAGGCAAGGTGACGGAAAATGCCATCAAGAAAATGGATTGTGCAGCGGAGAGGATGCGGCCTTGTTCATGATGATATCAAGAAATGTGAGAACGCTGTAGGCGGGGACATGGTTAACATGAGTAAAGTCATGTCGCTGCGGGATGGGCATGTGTGTGCGCATGTACCTTTGAAGCTGGACTGGGTGCAGAACGGGCGAAGTGACTGGTTGCCGGGCCAAAGAAGCAGGCGCAGGGGACAGACGAAGCAACAGCCCACCGTGCCCTTGGCAATCAATGGGACCAGAGCGTCTGTCTGTGTCAGGAGACGAGCAATTCCATTGTCGTCCTTTTCTTTGCTACTTGACACTTCTCCAACTCCTTCATCAGTGCCAAAATCGCCTTCAAAGCCTGAAAGTCCTTTGCGAAACCCTCAGCGACCTTCTTCACATCTTGGTGTCTATTGCGAGAGCCACATCTCAGGTACACGACAGAGTTCCGGTCGGGAAGCTGCCGCTAGTGCATTCATTTGTGCTCAAGTGCTCCCTCCTACACTCTAGCCCTCCGACTACTCCGTAGTTGGGTATTGACTAGACACAGACACAATGGTGAGTTGCCCCAGTACCCGACGCCGCCTTTGTAAACAAACAGCAGAGGAGAAGCCCCGCGGTCGACGAGCCTCGCCATATGATTCGCCAGTTCGGTGCCAGTCAACGCAGTGTGCTTGCCCCCTTCTGGGTTGGATTGCCTCCAAATGCGCCCAAACGACGCCAGCTCCGAAATCTTGGTTTGCACAACACATCTGCCAACTTTCGTGACGAACGACGCATCTTCTTTTGCAAGCTGTAAACACCGAAGCAGGCGCAAAGAAGCACTCTGTGGCTAGCTGTGCACACGAACAATCTCTCGATTGGGCTCAACCAAGCGCGTTACTACGGAACGACGGGACGGGGCCTCCTCTTTCTGTTGCAGACGCATCATTAGCAGCACAGATTACAGACTTGACAATGTCTTCTAACCAGTACGATTCTCAGGCGTCCACCAACTACAAGGAGGCCTTTGCTCTCTTTGACAAGCGCGGCAATGGCAGGGTGACTGTAGACAGCTTGGGTGATTTGCTCCGAGCCTGTGGTCAGAACCCCACCTTGTCCGAGATCAAGGACCTCGAGCAGAATGCCGGTAGCGAATGTGAGTAGATTGAACTGACGGAAAAAGAGCGAACGCAAGGGAACTCGTGAGCACGAATGACTGACAGCGCTGTTGAGCAGTCGATTTCGAGACTTTCCAGCGCATTCTGAACCGCCCTGGGGGTTTCCGCGACCCTGGCGAGCCCGAAGAATATTGCCGCGGCTTCCAAGTGTTTGACAAGGATATGACTGGATTCATCGGCGTTGGTCAGATCAAGTACATCTTGACGAATCTTGGCGAGAAGATGTCAGAGGATGAGGTTGATGAGTTGCTCAAGGCTGTGGACACCAGTTCTGGCCAAGTAAACTACACTGGTATGTTTTGCCGCGCGATTTGTGACAAGCACAGGGATACTCCTGGGCCTGTGACCCCCCAGCATTTGAATATTTCCTGACGTCAATCTTCCAAAGACCTTGTCCGAACCATCCTCGCCAACTAGGCGACTGTACGGCTTCCGCTTTCGATGATGGGGTGTTATACGAAATGATTACTCAGTCTTTTTGCATGTGCGGACTGGATGGCGTTACTCTGTTCTTCTTCTTTTCTGTTGTACTGTTTCTCTCTTACATGACAGTGTTTGGCGATGGAGGATGCAATGAGGCATGGAGTTGGAAAGTGCGTGGGAGTAGATTGGGATTCAAGTCAAGAGTCATTATTTTGTGTATGGATATAAGCTCTGGAACGGTAGATAAATTGTTCAGAGGGCTATTCTTGTGGGACTACTTATTTAAGTTAACCTTTGATTTTGACATTCTATTTGTGCATCGTTGATTGGGTTCTGGCATGTAGCATACAGTTTGCTTTGATGACATTGGTGTTGTGAAGGTGATAAAACACCATGGGTGGGCACTTGCTGCGGGAAATGCGACTTAACAAGGACTGGGTCTTTAGACAAGCTGATTTGATCGAGGCCTTCTTGCTGGGCTACGGAGCTATCTATAGCAATTGGCGTTGCCAGCCTGTTGCATGGCTCTGAGGTGCTGATGCGGACGATGATTATTGAACCCCGCCGTTATGACTCTCAAGTCAGCACTTGGGCTCCGTGCGGTCTGGTGTGCTGGTGTCTGGTGTTCCGTGTTGCGTCAATGCTGCCCCTCGCCGCCCCTCGCCGCCCCTCTGTCACGGAGAACATTTGAACGTGGCCCCTCAGTGCCTCCCATCAGTCCAGATGTCCCTGCCTCCTGCCACATGCAGTCTGTGGACATGGAAGCTTCAATGTTGTTTCCCAAACTAACTGACCAGATTTGACTTTGAAAATTTACCAGAAATCCTCCACGCCCAACATTGAAGTGTCACTCTGGTGTCTGGTCCGTCGACTGCGCAACATCTGACGTTACCTGTCCCAGGTGCCCTCTTCTATCTACCTACGGAGTAAGGAGTAGTCTCGGTGCATGTACGGAGTACAGCAACCTGTGTCTCTGCTAGCGAAGTTGCTGCTGCTGGTGCTATTCCCATTGCTTGCATAACCGGTGCAGAAGTTCTTGTCCGATCTCGTACTGCATCTGCAATCTTCATCCGCGTTTATTACGCAATCGAAACCTATCTCTGCACGAACCTGGGTTACTCGAGCTCGCTTCACAGTCTCATCCATCGTTGGTACATTGCATTGAACTGCGGCTTCCTGCACCTACAGACGGTTTAACAGCTCTCCGCCGCTCCCATCCTACTGCATCATTCAACTAGATCGAGACGGCCTCTCGCTCCTTGGACAGAAGTTTCCGAATTCCCTCGCGTACCTGCAGTTAAACTGGATAGGCGCAGTCATTTAAAGCAGCCCAGGCCCCGTCCCCTCTTATCCCCCCTCCTTGCTCTGTCCCTCGTCGTCTTCATCCTCGCCGCAACCCTGGCCTCCTCACGGGCTTTCCTCCGTCTCAACACCCTTGTCAATCATTTTCGCTCAAGTGCGGACCAACGCATCGTTCACCGTTTTCGTCCATTGATGACAAGCAGCATGGCCGGTGCTCAGTACCAGAACCCGCCTCAGGCACCGCCGCTCTTCACCGGCACCACCGAATCAGTTGTTGCCGATATCAACAAGAACAATGAGCTCACAAAGAGTATTTTGGACAAGGTAGTGGCTGATGTGAAGCCCGAAAATGCCATCTTTGACAGTGTTCTCGAACCGGGCCTGGTGAACGAGAACGAGCTGGGACGAAGCTACCGCGTTGCCCAGTTCTACCAGTATGTCTCTGCCAGCAAGGAGCTCAGAGAAGCTTCGACAAAGGCACAGGAAATTTCTGACGAGTTCAATATCGAACTCAAGATGAGAGAGGATATATTCAAACTGGTTGATGCTGCATTCGAAACCCGCGACTCCCAAAAGCTGGATGGCGAGTCTCTGCACCTGTTGCAGAAGGAACGCCAAAAGTATATCCGCAATGGCCTTCTACTGCCAGCTGGCCCCCAGAGGGACCGCTTCAAGGAAATTCAGAAGCGTCTTAGTTTGCTGTGTCTTCAGAGCCAGAAGAACCTGAACGACGAGATGGGCGGCGTCTGGTTCACCCCTGAGCAGCTTGAGGGTGTCCCCTCTGATGATATTGATATTAGCGGGCTTGAAAAGGGCACCGGAGAGAACGAGGGCAAGGTCAAGGTCACTTTCAAGTACAATCATTTCTTCCCAATGAGCAAGTATGCTATCCATGAGGACACTAGACGCACCTATGTCATTGCCGAATCCAACAAGGTCAACAACAATGTTCCCTTGTTCCGCGAAATCATTGCCCTTCGAGACGAGGCCGCTCGTATGCTTGGTTTCCCGGACCACGCTAGCCTGGTCATTTCCGAGAAGATGGCCAAGACTTCAGGCAGAGTCATGGAATTTCTAGGCGATCTTCGCGAGCGACTTGCCCCAGGAGGTGTAAAGGAGGCTGATCGCCTTCTCCAGTATAAGAAGGAGGATTGTGAGGCACGGGGTGCACCATTCGACGGTAACTTGTACATGTGGGATATCCCCTTCTACTCGAGGATTATGAAGGAGAAGGAATACAGCGTGGATGAGGCTGAAATTTCTCAATACTTCCCTGTTGATAGTACATATCAGGGCATGATCAAAATCTTTGAGCAGATCTTCGGGTTTGTCTTTGTTGAGCTTAGCAAGGAGGACCGCGCTAGACTCAGCCCTACTGGCAAAGCAGAAGACATGACCTGGCACGAGGATGTTATTGTCTATTCTGTCTGGGACGATGAGGCTGCTGGCAGTGGATTCTGCGGATACTTGTACCTGGATCTCCACCCCAGAGATAACAAGTACGGCCACAATGCCAACTTCAACATCGAGCCTGGCTACCTGAACAAGGACGGAACTCGCAACTACCCTGCGACTGCCCTGGTATGCAATTTCAGCAAGCCTAGTGCAACTAAGCCCGGTCTTCTGAAGCACCATGAGGTGGTCACTCTCTTCCACGAGCTCGGCCACGGCATCCACGACCTAGCTGCTCGCACCAAATACAGCTACTTCCATGGCACCAGTGTTGCCGGTGACTTTGTCGAAGCCCCCAGTCAGATGCTAGAGAACTGGTGCTGGACACCCAGTGTCCTGAAGTTCCTCTCTCGACGTTGGGACACAAACGAGAAGATCCCCGATGATATGATTGAGAAATTGGTCAAGACCAAGCACTTCAACTCGGCCACCTCTAACCTTACGCAATTACTCTACGGTCTTTTCGATATGACCGTCCATACTCCCAAGTCTCACGAAGAGGCTAAGAATATGCCCATTGCCAGGGTGTGGAACGAGTTCCGTCGTGATATTACTGGAATCAAGGGTCCCGAGGCCCAGGGACAAGGACTGTACGTATCTGTGCTAAAGCACACACACATGTGATGAAACAACAAGTTGCTGACATTATATCTTGTAGTGAATGGGGCAATCGATTCGCTACTATTGGGCATTATACTGGCGGATACGATGCCGGATATTACGGCTACCTGTACTCGCAGGTCTTCTCCCTCGACATGTTCCACTCATTTTTTAAGAAGGACCCCATGGATGGCAAGGAAGGTCGTAGATACCGGAAGCTAGTTCTAGGCCGTGGCGGCAGCCAGGAAGAGCTACAGACCTTGAAGGACTTTTTGGGCAGAGAACCCAATACAGAGGCCTTCTACCAAGAACTCGGTCTAGCGTAAGTTGGACCCAAGGAGACAAATTAGCATAGTGATGGATCTGTAAGCACGCAAGAAGCCATATTCCTTGCACGCTAGACGTAAATATATTAAGAAACTGCCTCGTGATAACACAGTTTCTGTGAAATCAGACATTGTCAAATATTCAAGAAAGGTATCCTATATCTTCCGACAGCGCCCGAGTTTGCATTCTCTCATGTCCAAAGACCACCACATTAGATACATCCATTACCCAAACAAGCCAAAACCAAAATTAATAATTCAAAAGAATGTGAGAACGTTCTAGGTATTATGTCCACATTTTCGTTTAAAACATCATGATCAGTACCGATGAAACAAGAATTGCTCCAGCAGAGTAGAAGAGACTAGAAAGATGAGAGGCAGCGGCTGTAACGACCGGGGGCGTCGATGTTGGGGGATTTCCAGGTGTACCTTCTGTCGTGGCGCCGGGTTGACCGCTTCCGCTGGGCTGACCGCTTCCGCCGTTGCCAGCATTGGCATTGCTGGTGCTTTCGCTCGAGCCTGGGTTTGTACCACTACCATGGCCAATCTTCGAGCTCGGGCCAGAGGCAGAGGCAGAGGCTGGGGCGGAGGTAGATGCAGATGCAGATGCAGATGCGGAGGCGGAGGCGGAGGCGAAGCCAAGACTGCTTTCGACGACAGTGTTGCTGAGCCTACTGGAACTGCTACCGCTGCCGCCGGTAGTACCAACGGCAGTGCGGTGGGTGGCAGTGGGCGAGTACGTCTCTCCTCCGGTGGAAGTTCCATGTTTCTGAGCACCAGACCTTGCACTTGTAGAAGATCCCTGAGGTGTAGAGATGGGCGAACTCTGTCCAGAAGATGGGGGAGCCGAGTGAGTCGTCTGCGATGAAGATGCATGGCTGGCTGGAGTAGAGCCAGCGGAATTGGTAGAGCCTACGGAACTGGTAGGGCTCGGCGTCGACGGAGCAGATGAGGCGATATTCTCACTGGAGGGAATTGGCGTGAATGTCGGATGGCTTACGTCAACTTGCGTGCTGGTTCTGATAGTAGGCTGCTGGGTAACAAGCTGCTCGGGAGTTGTAGGTGAAGCAGTTGGGGGCTTCTCAGCCTTGGTACCACTGCAGAAATTAAGAAATTGCTCGAATTCCGGCTTTGGTGCTTCTCCAGTAGAGGTAGAATTGCTATTGGCATTGTCCTTTATACAATTGCTGCAGGAGTCGTAGGCCTCCCTGAATTTTGAATTGCCACCACACAGACTGTCGCTTTTGCCAGTACCTAGAGCAATGAGGTAGGCGTAATTGCAAACATCAAAACATATGGATGGAACAGGAACATCTCTCTTGGACTTGTGACATGTTTTATAGTCGTTGATACGCTTGCGCATTCCGCCATGCAAGGCCGGCGGGGATGGTTTAGGCCAGGCAGTCAGCGATGACTGCGAGCCCCAGTTCCCTGTTGTGATCAGGGAAGGGTGTCCATTTCTCGTCTCGTTGATGACTTGATATTCGAAGATGTCGTACGAAAGACCGAATGCTTCGGGGTTGAGGTTGAAGTAGCCATACGAGGGTGGGTAATAGCTGGTTTCGCATCCTTGCCATTCGACCTTTGCGAAAGGCGGCGAGGGAATACAGTCATTTGAATCGCAAAGAAAATCGTCGGATGGAGGTTTGGGCCACAGATTGCATCCATTTGGCTTAGGAGGGTTGCAGACATAGCCAGGCTCGCAACCAAATGTAAGGTCTGACTTTGCGTCTAACGGTGCTGAGACTCCTGTGGGGGTCGGGCAAAGGGTGACGTCAAACACGGGGGTCACGGTGACAGTGGTGGCTGGCTTTTCGATTGTTGTGGGAGGGAGGGTAAGTGTGCTGGTCTCTATTACTGTGTATCCTGGCCGAGTGATTGTCTTTGTTTCTTGCTCGTCGGTGACGTGGATCGTTGTTGGGGGTAACGTCTTTATCTGTGTTGTCACAATCGTGCTTGCTGGCAAGGTTTTGGTTACGCCGGGAAGAGTGATTGTGCTTGTCTGGCCGGGAGCCGTGACTGTTGGTCCTGTGAGGGTTTGAGTTACATCGTGGCCGGGAGCTGTTACGGTCTGGCCAGGAGCTGTTACGGTCTGGCCGGGAGCCGTTATTGTCTGGCCGGGAGCCGTTATAGTTTGACCTGGTTGTGTGAGCGTGGTCACAACAGGGAAGCTTGTTATCACCGTCGACACAAATGTTGTAACTATGGTGGTGGATTTTGTAGTGTACTTGGTGTTGTCGACAGTCAGAGTGACTGGGTGCTCGCTAACGACCGTTTTGGTCTCCGTGTAAGTTGTGGGCACCCATATTGTAGTCGAGTCGACTACAGTCTGCGTGTCGTGAATGGTCGTCTCCTGCGGGACCGTTTTTGTGGTAACAACGGACTCAATCCCAGTAACTGTCTTGGTAGCCGTGGTCGTAGCCCAGGAAGTTACTGTTGTTGTCCTACAGCCGTACGTCCGTCCCTTGAGTTTTGGGATCTGTTCAGTGTTTGTGCCCCCAGTAGATTCATACCCGTTTGTGTAGGGAGGGTCACAACTGCGTCATCATGTCAGTAATCTCGCTGTAGCTAGTAGCTCCCGGATTAAATTTATCCTTGGTCTTCGAAGACTTTGCACTTACTCAATGACTTTAGTTACGGTCACAGGATAAGACTTGGGTCACGTTAGCAGATATCCATTCGTTCTTGTCGACGATATGATCCATACCCTTGTGTAAGTCGAGAGGGCTGTTGTAGTAACGTATTTGGTTGTGTATTGCACCTCGGTAGAAACGTCGTGCTGTGTTGCGGTAGTATATATCTATCTCCCATGTCAGCATCGGCCAACCCATTTTCCCAGTTGAAACCACATAAGTCTGACCGTTTTTTCGCTGTAAATCGTGGTACTTTTCCATTGTTAGCAAACACATAACTACGATACTAACAAGTGCTACTCACTAAATTTTCGAGATGACTGTTCTTATCGTCGTTGGGCAACACTCGTCACATCGGGCGGCCAGAACGGAGTCCGGAAACAGGTTGAGATCAACCGTAAGTAACCCTTCAACGCCGGCCCCGACATCAAGCCCAGGGACTGCAGCAACGAGGCTTGTAAAAAGCCCAAGCGAGCTGGCAAGACGCATCTTGCGTGAACTCTGGCCCTCGCCCAGCTAACGAATGTAGCTTTCCAACTTCGAGAATGTGCCTGAAACGAATGGAGAAACGAGCGACAACCCTCCGGCTCTTCTATCCTCCCAAATGAAGACACTGATCCCAGGTACAGATGGAGGTAGGCCTAAAACAAAAGGGCTCTATAAGTAGAGATTCCCAGTGACTATTTGGTCACGGTGGTCGAAGTGGTTGCCCGCGATTGCTGTCTTTGGCAGTGGGAGTGGTATCAGGTATCGACAAGAATAGATTGGGCTCCAAGCAAACTGCACTGATTGAGACTCAAAGGTCGAATAATCCGATTGAGATAAAATCTGATGTGCTTGGTGGCAATTGTGAGACTCCGGTAAGCAATCGAAGGACCAACAAGATTTCAAACAATGGCGAAGACGAGCTCAGATGGGGAGAAGAACAATTTACAAAACACACAGATCAGTCTGCTACTCCGTACTAATAACCAAAACCTTAAGCCCAAGGTGATAGGTCTAGCATGAACTACGCTCGAAGCAATCGCTGGGTGTTACAAACCGAATTTCCCCAAGACAATCCAATCGTAAGCGCATGCATCCCTTGCGGTGACGAATCGAGCAAATTTCCATGTAACTACCTACCTACCTAGGTAGGTAGGTACTCGTACTCTGTACTCAGTACGAAGTACACAAAGCTCATTTCCTGCACGGGCCAGAATCTGGCCTTGGATGCTTGCCAAGTTGCCCGGGTTTCCAGAGATGCGGCCCCCGGATGACAGCGGCCGTCGGGAGGAGAAGCTGCTGGCTCCATTATCTTGCATGCATCCGCACGGCGCCCCAAAGTACTCCACAAGAGGCAAAAGATTGAGGCCTTCCTGACGAGAGGCCGCTGTTTGGCGATTGGGCTTGAGCCCGAGATGCACAAAGGGAGGCTCTGGGTCTATCCCCCGGCGTGGCATCTCGCTGCCTGTGTCGGGGACACGCACTAGTACTCTCCCCAACGCAAGGACAGAATCCGCATCTTTTTTAGAAAGTCCACATATCTACGGAGTAGGCGTGTAAGGGAAAGCCTCGTGGGGACAGAGGAACTATTTTTTTGTTTTCCCGTTTGTTTTTAGCATAATTTGTTTCCGGAAAATAGCCGCTGCCGAGAGCATTAGCGAGACTTTTTCGAGTCCCTAAGCCCTCCTTCTTTGGCTCCTTAGCCTTTTCTCCAGCCATCGTGATATGTCTGGAGGACGCAGAAAGAAAAGGCCAAGTAGATATGTATGTACTCCGTATGTATGCATTGTTGCGACCTAATCGGGCCGTTGCGGTGTCTGCACTCAAGTACTGTGTACTATACTCTGCGTATATGCAGAGTCGAAGTCTTTGGGTTACGCTGGCAGCCTTGTTGGCTGTGTTTGTGCCAGTACTTTCGTCTGGTCAAAAATGACGGGATGCATCCAAGACCACCGTTGGGTCTGAGTGGTCGAATTGACCTGAGTGGTCTGAGCGAATATCAGAACTCCAGTCTCGGCGGGCCGAAGCTTGCTTCTTGCCTCTCTCGTGCATCGCGATTGCATCCTGTTAAAAGATTCTACCTCGTCAGCTCGTATTACTCAGTCAGCCGTGAAGTCGCACACACTGGAGTCTAGACAACATGAGCATTAAATCAAGAGGGGTGCCCGCACCAAGTGCCGAATTCTTGTGTCAGAGCCTCGTTCATTCATGATCAAGGTCGATGGAGCCATCTCCGAGGAGGGGAAGACGGATGAGCAGGGAGGTGAGGAGGCAGTTGCGACTGCAAGTACGGGAAGCACGATGGATGCACGGAGTACCGAGTACTCTGCGTACTCCGCCTTCCAGAATGAGACATCGATAGCCATGCATTTATTGTTGACTCACCACCCCATCTTGATTTGAAATTCCCCGCCATCTTTTTTGTTCTCACACGTCCCGCTCGCTACTGCACAGTACAGCCCTTCTGGCACTCCGTGCATGCATACATATATATCCGAGATCAGTGTAATCCGGTCATCTCGTGGTCTTTTGATAGAGCTGGGGTCGGCCACTGGTCTGGGTTCCCCTCCTGCTTGACCCCGGCTGTCCGGGTTGCCCTTCTAGTAATCAGGAACTGCTATTGTCCAATTCTGGACCCTTGTCTTCCCTCCACAATACACGTACGCCTACACCGCAGCTTCGTCCCCAGAGACACCGACTACCTGGATGCTGTCATCACGCCTCCTCCTCACATTCGTTGCCTTGCCATGATCCCCGCCGCCTCGTGTCTCGAGAGCTTGGGTCGAGAGCTTGGGCCCGCGCCCAGCGTGCGAGGAGGAGACGGGGCCCCGGGCCCTGGTATGGTCCATGGTCGAGGGACTCGAGGGGCTCTTGTAGGACTCGGTCAATATATTCCTGTCTTGGCAGCAAACATGGCCTGGTCGTATGCCCATGTGGTACAAGCCCTCTGTGGAGACTGCATGTAGTCGGTCCAAGCCGTGGTTATACAGCATTTGTGTAAAGTCAGTCGGAAGACGGGCAGGCCGACTGGGAGAGCATTGCAATTGGAAGCTGAGTACCGGAGTACGGAGTCCAGGCTGGCGTCGCCGGTAAGCTTCTTCTCACGCAGTAACGGTGTCTTTCTCATTGGTGGCAGAAGACCCGTGTATCACAGACCAGAACCACTTGTAGTCGTGGAGTACTCCGTATCGCAACCATCTTCGTCTTCACCGATATCAGCCTCACAACCCCAGCTCCAGCTTTCATTTGTCCTTGAGACATACTCCGTACATTCAGCCTGCCCAACTGCACTTGGTCGTTGTTCCAGACTACAACCCCTACATAACCTTTAGGAAGTCACTTGGAGAACATTTGCCGGTGGGCTGTATCCCATCAACAGAAAGTATGGGTCATGGTGACACGACACATTGAAACCTCGCGCGCTACCGAGTTACCACTCGAGAGTAATTACAATACTGAGACCATTGTGAACCTTGGCGGATCACCAAGCAATTTTCAATGGTTTCCATCCATCATCGCAGCTCCAGCAAGTCAACAAAATGAAAATCAGCTCCAAGGCCCAACTGGCGATATGTATAGGATTCGCGTCTTACTCCAACGCGCAATTTAGCAACTGGCTAAGCGACCAAATCAACACTAGCATTTGCACATGGTCGCAGCCCAGAGGTATGCCACTCTTGTCAAGTCGTCTCTTGTCACGATGTCTCCGCTCACACTTCGACCCCATGCAGCTGCGCTAATTCGCGATACCGTCTATCTTGATGGGGGAGATATCTGGTGGAGTTCTGGACTTGCCTCAGGGAAGTTTGGTCCACCACGCAATCAAGGCAAGTTCATTATAATTCCATTGACAAGATAGTTTTAACTGACATACCAAAGGCAATTTCCAAGGATACGTCCTGTCATACAACTTCTCCGAGTCCTTCTCAAAGGACTCAAATGTCACCGGAATTCTTGTAAACAAGCGCATGTCTAAAGCAATAGGCGGGGAGCAAAGTGGCATCAGCTCAGAGCCAGGCTACGACGACGGTGGTATGCTGGCTAACGATGCCGAATTCTTTCTTTATGGAGGAGCCGTGACAGCGAATACTCTCGCTTCGAACCCCGAGCCTGCCGCAAATGCAGTGCTTGCTTATCGTCGATATGCATATGGCCCAGAAAAACCTTTATGGCAAAGCGGATTCAACAGTGGGCATCTGGATGACGGTGTAACTAGATATATCGCCTATGGAGGGCCGGTCAATGCACCATCAGAGAACAAAGCATGGTATTTTTCAGGCCTCACGTCTCCAAGCAGAGGGCCAATTAGTGTCTTGACTGATAAGAATAAGACAACACTGGCCATGAACCCCTCTAACACGCTTATTGAGCTGGACATGACGGACCAGCTTTTCGAGAAGTGGACCAACATAACTCTTCCTGATAACATTAAGCCAAGAGCAAACCCCGAAGTCGTCTGGGTCCCAGTTGGGAAGCAAGGCATTCTGGTCGTTTTGGGTGGAGTTGTGTATCCGGACTGGGCATCTGGAAATTTCCAATCCGCGAATGAGACAGAGAGTGTAAGTAGGCCGTTCGTCGAGGTGGTCGTTTTGCCTTGAATTGCGCGTGTTAACATTGTAGAAGAAGCTTGAAAGCCCGGAATTTATGCGTACCATCGACATTTACGACGTTGCAAACAAGAAATGGTACCAACAACCAACGGAAGGTGGTCCAGGGGCAAGGACGCGAGGTTGTGCCGTCGTAGCGCCAGCGTCAGACAAGTCTAGCTTCAACATATACTATTACGGTGGTTATGACGGAATACACCGGAAGAACGATTTCTTTGATGAGGTTTGGGTTCTGTCACTACCGTCATTCTCTTGGACCTTACTTAACAAGGGAGTTCCCGTCCATGGTCGCTCGGGACACAAGTGTTTCAAGCCATATCCGGACCAAATGATGGTTTTCGGAGGATATACACCCAAGGTTGGATCGTCAATCACATGTCTAGATCAGGGTCCCGTGGTTGTTTTTAACTTGACTAGTGGGGAATGGCTGGACGGCTACTCACCAACAAAATATGGCGATTACGGTGTACACGAAAAGATCATTGCTGCTGTAGGCGGAACCGCATCCGGAGGAGCAACTGTCTCATTGCCTGTGCCCTCAGGCTGGGCTTCAAAAGAGCTAGGGGCTGTCTTCTCAGTGGCATATGACACGAAAAAGATCAAACAGTACTGGCCATATAACTCCGCGTCATCACCGCCACCGCCACCTGGTGCTACAACATCTCCTCCAGAGCAGGCTGACTTTCCGCATGATAGCCACTTGCTTCAAATCATTCTTCCCGCAGTTCTTGTGCCCATAATTATCTCCGTCGGACTTGGTATAGCACTGTGGTATTGTTGTGCCAGGAGAAAGAAATCCTCCACTGCTTCATCAACAGACTCGACCGCTGATGAGAGCGGGTTGAATATCATGACGTGGGCTAGAGGACCCGGAGCGGCCAAAAGATCAATGATGAT